TAAGTAACTTAGTATTACTTAATATTATATTCTTCTGTAAACTTTACTATACCTCTATACATACCTTTCCATACCGCAGTAAACTCCAAGCAATTAAAATTCCTCACCCAGTAAATGTTTAATCAATTTAAACATCATGGCGTCACCATAGGAAATGCATACAATACATTATCATGTTAAAACTCTTCCGCCGACAACTTTAACATTACCGTTGTATTAAAATGCCATTATGACTGCTTTTGGTAAATATGATAATAAAAATGACTGTCTAGTTGGCCGAGTGGTCGTAAGTGCGACTGCCGGGCAAGGGGTCTCGGGTTCGATTCCCGGGTCACGCAAAGTATTACTGGTTTTTTTAATATTCTCAGTAGTAGCACGGAGTCTGAAATTGTGCCCGATATATGGCAATAGTCTCACCCCCTATTACATGGGACTCATAACATAAATAGTGAAAAGTGGGTGTTACATTGTACAGTGGCATATTGTGCACCTCTGCCTACCCCTTGGGGGATAAAAGGCGTGATATTATGTTATGTTATGTGATAATTTAAATCCGGTAATATTTTTATTTATTTTGACATGTTTTTAAATGTTTTAAATGTTTCATAAGGAAAATACTTCAACTGTATATGTGATCCTAAGTATGTATAAGACTAATCTTGTTCTTAATTCAAATAAACGAATGTGTTGCTTCGTAAAACGATGACTTATTTTGTTAATTTCTTATCAAAATATCCTTTTAATTCGTACACTAATGTAAAGGATCGTACACTCATCTATGAATTGTCAGTATGCCTAAGTTAGCACCATGTTCGACTATAAGATACTTCTTTAATTTTGTTTTTTTTTATATTTTAGTAAGTTCTGTAATTAGTACTATGCGTCAAGCGCGTCTTTACATTGTTCTCACATATGTGTACAATATTCTAATAGGTATGTAGGTATCAGAGGGATTGTAAAACACACTATTTTTACAAAAGTAACGAATGAAGTTTCTTGCTCGTTCTTCTCCACTCGATTCTACATTTTGGAACGAGCGCCTAGCTTCACTGACGGACAGACTGACAGGCTAATATTTATTTCATATTTGTTGACGTATCAAAAGTACCAAATTATGATTTAATTGATATAAATGCTTTGACTTTGACTTTGACTACTACCTAACAACAGTTTTACTTTTCCAATCATGCATTATATTCATGACAGTATTCTCCAACTTGGCCCAGTAGTTTCGGAGACTATTCAATACGGACAAACAAAAATCTTCCTTCTTTTTTACTATTAATGATTATGCATATTTTTTTAATACATTTTCTATCACACATACATTTTATCCTTTTGAGTTCGAGTTTGAAAGAAGCTCACCTAAAACGAAGAAACGTAATCAAAATTCATTTCTCCACCAATTGTAATCAGTTTTTCACAAAATATATCTCACAGCACTCCAATAATTCTAACCTCTTAACATACCACCGACAAAATTTTTACAGTTTATAATCAAATACACGGAGCGCTCCAAATTCAAAATTAAATAAATCTTTTTTTTTTTTACTTATGTATATTTAAAGTTGAACCGCCAACTGTAGTGAAACAACAAGTGAAACAAGTGAATTTATTTCTGCAAATAGGCTACAAGGCAGCACTTTTACACGTCAATTTTATCAAGCGAACGATGAGGTCGACATTTCCTAACTGACTACTCTGAGAAGAAATGCCGAAACAAACTCAGAGGTCTGTCTCTTTTAAAGTCCAGACAATATGTATAACAGATTATGTGTGAGAACCGTGCCAGTTCTTCCTGTAGTGGGCTTTTGAGGAAAGAACCACAACAGTTTGAGCGGACCCGTTCTGAAGGCAGTACGCATGTGTCGGTTTACAGTCAGCTCAACTAACAGGTGAGGCTGACTGATTCGACGAACAATACCAACCTAAAGAACATTTGCGTGGGTCGCACAAATACTCAAACTGTCAGAAAAAGGGTAATTAGAAAAGAAACGGTGAGGCAAAGTCTCGCACGGTCCTAGCACTAACAATAGTTAAATAAAAATGTCAAGTTAGAACAACATATTATTATGAAAAACAATGTCACATTAAAACAATAATGTCAAATTGCATATAAAAAAAGAAATGTAACTATATGTTACAAACATGTCAAGCAAACATGTACGTGTAGCGAGAACTTTTTTATTAATTCCATGCAGATATAATTTTTTGTTTTGACTGTACATTTTGGAGAAAATAAGCTGTAATAATGTAAATATAGAGGCGTTGTTTTGGTAAATACCGAATATTAAAAAAAACTTCTTGTATTACGTCTCAATGTAGAGGTAATTTACAACCAGGTTTTGTGCCCTTAGCAACCGCTTACTTATTCGAAGATGTCCATTATAACATCACGGGAAAATCAGGTGTGACGTGATGTGATCATGTATGGAATACCATTTATCACAGCTATTGTCATTACTTCATTAGATTATCATATCTGATAAAATCTAACATAATTAAACCACAAAACACAATCTCTATATCCACAAAGAAAAATGTTTGAAAAGTCAAAATATTTAACCACTATAATTTTACTATAAACAGTCCAATATAAGTTGAACTCCGCCGCCCCTCTTTCCGTTACCACGTCTGATTAAAGACAGGAAAAGCATTCAGTTGCAACAGGTCACAGAAAAATGGTTAATTAATTGGTGTATCAGTGATCGTAGTGGCACGTAGTACCGGCGCTTGCGCAACGTATAAAAAGGCTATAGTGACCAAACAGACGCACAGTCAGAAACCAGACCTGTTACCGATAACACTTATTTATATATTTTAAAATAATATATTGTTTAATTGAATTTAGAAAGATGAAAGTGTTTGTGTGTTTTGTTTTGAGTTACATCGCGTGCGTACACGCCGGCTCGCTGCGTGAGTTTTCATTTTATTTCCTTACTTTAAGAACGGTATATAAAGCTACGATAAAAGGTTTTTAAAATTAGTGTTCCTAAATTAAAAGTTTAATATTTTTTTCTTTTAGGTACTATTTTCTAATTCAGACTCACCAAAAGTAACTTTGAGTGCTTTTATAGACTTCTTTTACAATAGCAGAACTTACGAATAAATTTGAATTATATCAGAAAGTAGTACGTGCTATCAATTTATTTTATAGAATACGTGAACAATGTGTTAAATGATTAATTTATTTAAATTGATTTGCGCTTGAGTCGTGAGAACTAGATTTGGTACAGCTTAGTAGAAAAGTAATATAATAACTGATTACGAAAGAGCAAAAGTAAGTTTAATTGGTAGACGTCTTACTAACCTAGATTTTTTTGTTTAGATGTCATTCTTACACTAAGATGACTCTTAATTTTAGTGTTTGTATTTTGTTTTAATATCTAGGATTATTTATGAGTTGAAATCACTTGAATTATACTTAACAAACATCTAATTATATAAATTATAGAGTATATTTTAAATTAAATTTTACTGCACGATGACAGAAGGCAGAAAAGTCATTATTGTAGTTAAATATTAACTAAAATCAACTCAATAATAATTCGATGTTATGGCTTTTGTAGTCGAATATTTTAGCTTTTTTACAAACTGAATTTCAGACTACATCTCTTTTAATTACCTTTAATTCCTTCCATAATTCATTCCTAAGTTACTGACCAATTTTCTGTAATAAAACCAAGCTCAGTGATATTATAGATCAAGTTGCACTTTCTACTGACATTGAGATCCGCATCGTGTTTGTTGCAAAAGCAAAACATTGCATAATGTTACCGCTCGGACTCGGGCTCGGAAGTTGAAGGTAGTTTGTGTTTATTTCGATACATTTGGAACATTTCTTCATATAGTTCTTTTTATTAAAGATCTCGTAGCAACAGGATAATCAGCTCTCCATACGTCCATATAAATCTACATCATTTTGGATCGACCACGTACTGACGGATATAATGACGAACTATTCTATTTTGTCGTTTGAAATGTAGTTGCATTGCATGTGATTCTAGAATTTGAAAAGCTAAGTAATGTTTTGACTATGACTAGGGCACAAACGAACCGATCATTTCTATTGGGGTGGATAAGTTTAAATCTTAGTTGTATAGAACTTAAATAAGACATTTAATGCTGGTATGTTGGTAAAATGTCGGTAAAGGAACATTTATCATATAATCTCACATTTAATACGTGCATGCATCTGTTTACCCCTTCGGGTTAAAGAAACCTAAAAAATGATGTTTGGCGACTGGCTTCTCCCAGTTGTGCAGTCTCTTTTTATGTTGTGTTTAATCCATTGTCTCTTACAGTAATTCATCGAGGCTAGTGAAAACTATCTTATTTTTCTTCTCCTCTTATAATATCTTCTGATTTATTTCGTTGCGAGAACCATGTCCAAGCTATTCATGTCCCTACATGTGAGGCGCTGGACTTCAGTGTTCCGGTATTTTTATGGTAGTATCTACTGTAGATCCTGGCTTACAGTTTTTGTAGGCTGTGGCGGGCTTATCCCTAAAAAAATCCTTATTCTAGATAGTTAGCAATCTCTATCTATTTTTGCATTCAATCCCATATTTTTTACTAAACCGTTAGTCCCATTCTTTATTGAAATAGACTCGTCCGTTAAATAAATAGTACCTAAAAACTAACAAGCACTCATATTTACGTGAATGTCAAGTTTAATAATTCTGCTAAAACAATAGAATTCTTCATAATTACAGTTAATAGCATTAGGTGCATGTTCATTGGTCAAGTCGAGAAATAGTTAAGTGGGTGATGAACACTGTCACATGATCTTTACTTTAATATTTTTAATTATTTTTAATATGCGATAAACCGGTAAACGAGCAAACGGATAACCTGATGATTAGCAATCGGCGTCGCCCATGAACACCTGGAACACTAGAGGCGTTACGAGTGCGTTACCAGCCTTCTTTGGATTAGGAATTAGGATTGTTCAGGAATTGGGAAGATTGGGGTTATTGGGGATAAGCTCACTCACTCGACGAAGCATAACGCAAGCGTTGTTTCACGTAAATTTTTCTTTACTTTAACGAAAGTTTTTATCTGATAGTCATTGGGGAATGTCTATGTCTACCAATGGAGGTCTTTTTAAGGGGGGAAAATCATCAAATGACTTCTCTCACCCGGGTGAGGCGGGAGGGAGTGTCAGATTCTTACTGACTAAAAACCACCCCGTTCCATAGTTGGAACGAGGTGGTTTAACTTAACGGGTTACCGGGGCCCGAGCCCCTTAACCCGTTAAGTTCTCCGCGGCTAACAGTGGAGGTCTTATGGCTGGTCTGATGATGAAAAGCATCAATGTCCTTATGTTACAACAACCACAAAGGTCTTCCTTATAATAAATCTGTATTATTCATAAAGGTATTAATATAATTATTACTGTGGGAAATATTTTCCTAAGCATTGTATTAAAAAAAACTCCACTAGTATTTACAAATCATCCATTGTTTAACTATCTACCAGACCTATCAGTTTTCTTGATGACAATGTTATACAATGTGTTAATTAGGTAAATAACTATTTCAGTTGCAACTGAAACGTGACACAACTTAATCATTTTCTGAAAAAAAAACAACTGTTTTTCATGTTAACTTATGTAGGAACTGTTTGCTCTGCCTACTGGAGTTAATACATCCCCAAGTCACTTCACACTGATCTTCAACAATATTCAACCATATTTTTGATCAGCTCATAACGGTTATACCTATTGTTCATTCACATGAGACGCATTTTTAACCGACTTCAAAAAAGAAGGAGGTTCTCATAGTTTGACCTCTTTGTATGTATGTATGTATGTGCGTGATTATCTCGTGATTGTCTGTAGCGATTTTGATGCGATTTTCAGAAAAGTGTTTGTTACATTTAGAAGAAGTTTCTAATCTATTAATTAACCGACTTCAAAAAGAGGGGATTTTACTCGGTATTTTTAAACGCAGTTTTTAAAGGAAAAATTATAGAGTAACTACTAGTATATCAATATCTCTCACAGACTTTTTTTATAACGGGATGAACCGAAATGACATACCTATAGTAGGTAGGTATTATTTATTAGTATACTCAATATAAAACACCGATATTATTATAATGAGTAATACCTTACCAGTTTTAACTAGTTTTATGAATTGACAAACATTTATTATTTGATTTGAACCATTTATTAGTGTGGGTGTATAACTGCACAATTAAATATTTACTGCACAAAATAAACTTACGGCATATGCATACTTGTAGGTTCGATTATTATTGCTTGCTTAGACCGATTTATGGCGTGGTGGCCTGGAGGTTTAACAGCCACGGTTCATGCATGAGGGCACCCTCATGCATGAACCGTGAACCTGCCAACGGCAAGTACCAATGTGACATTTTCCGAGTTGTATGTACTTTCTAAGAATATCTAGACACCACTGACAAACGGTAAAGAAAAACATTGTAAGGAAACCTGGTCTTATAATTTCTAATTAGGTACAAGTCTGTAATCGCTAACCCGCATTGAGCTAGTGTGGTGATTAATGCTCAAACCTTCTCCGTGTGAGAAGAGGCTTTGCTCAGCAGTGGGCATTTAATGGCTGTTGATGATGATGATGAGATCGATTTATTAAAACAGAAAGAGAACGCATTACCTATTACATTTAAAAATATATAAAAAAAAATAAAAAAGTAACAATATTTATTTGAAGAGCTACTGGAACATTCCTTCATAACTTTGTGTCATGGAAAATTCTGTCATTAATCCAATCCCATCTGTATAAGTCCTTGTTCACTTTAAAATAACATTATTATAGCTCATCGATGTATTCAGCTATTTCGTAATACATATCAAAATGTATTCGTTAAATTAAAGTTGATGTCCTTTACAACACTGACGTCTAACTACAAAATGTCTATATATTAAAATTCCATCAATAATTTCTACCATTAAATTCGTGTGATTGTAATTATTTGTGAATAGTTTGGTAATGTCATTTAAAGTTCATAAATGTATGAGTGTTATATTTCTGTGTACCTACTACCTACCTACTGTACCTACTATAAGTCGTAGTCCTACTGGAAGGTCGTTTCAATAAAATTTCAGTTACCCTTAGCGTGTTCTAAAAATTCTAGCTAGACTCTATCATAAACTATAAAGCTGATTCATAATGAAATAATATCATTATCATCATCAACAGCCTATAAATGCCCACTGCTGAGCAAAGCCTCTTTTCCCACGAAAATAGTTTGAGCATTAATCACCACGCGTGCTTATTGCGGGTTGGCGATTTCAAACTTATGATTAGAAATTATAAGCCCAGGGCCCAGGTATTATCAAGATGTTTTCCTTCATCGTTTGTCAGTGGTGTCTAAATCATCTTAAAAGTAGGTACATATAACTTGGAAGAAGGTACTTGCCGTTGGTAGGTTTCAAACCCGAACCCATGAGAAGCGGGCGTCTTAAATCTCCAAATAAGATACTAACGTTGAAACCAAATACTTGGATATTGGTACATATTTTTTTAAATGACTACAACTTTTAAAACAACACCCACTTTTATCAAAAACAGCTTGTCACGCGTCAGTTTACAAACCAACAAGTTACTTTAGCAAGCATTTATTTAACTACACATTCAATTAAACCGTCAACTGACTTCATAACAAACGCAGACACGTGAACCTAACCGGTCGGTTACATTTACTGTTTCAAATCGACATTGACCTGCCTCACTCCTCCAATCCACGTGTCCACATAGGAATTGAGACCCTGACATGGACCCACCCAAAATAAGGGCCTCAAACCATTACTTAATACTTTAATACCAACAAAGGTTAGACTCGGTATTCTCGGCCAATTATTCTTCAAATATTGGTAAGAAGCTTGCCCAACTTCAATGTCGAATATAAAGATGCCAAATTACTTAAATATCTTAGTTTAGTTAGCCTTATTTAGTTGAAGGTTGTAGGTGTAATCTGGATCAAATATCGTAATAGACGTAATAGGTCAACCGGCGTACGCCAATACGACAGGTTTACCTTGTTTTACGCTTTTTCTGGTCATAGAGAAGCCTCTGTGAAGCTATTTACTCATTTTACGGGCTGGTGTTTCGTAATATTTTGATTTATGTATGAAAGAGAAATATGTATTTCAAATATTTAAATGAAACGGGTTAATTGAGACAGTAAATGTTATTGCAACAATGTCCTCCACGCAAAACTCCATAATTTGTTGTTTATTTTAACAAACATTTTAATAAAATTACCTTAACCTCGTTTATGGCAAAATTAATCCATATTTCATGTTGTTACGAAAATGTTTTTACAAGAAAAACGAGAGCAAGGGTAGTTTTAAAATTAAAACCCTTCAAAGAGTAGGTATCAACATTAAAACTTGAAGATTTTCAATGTATATCGAATTTCTTTTAGGTATATCGAATATCGGCTTTTGAATAGCGAACCCAAAAACGTCCAACACCCTATTCAATATGCAAATAGAGCCACACCATATAAATCATTTTTTTTTTCTTTCCAGCATCCTTCATCAGACCATGCTCAAGATCAGATCCTAATCTAAATGAATGCGTGGAGAAAGTCATATCGGTGGCTGGAGCGAAGTTCACAGAAGGCATCCCGGAGCTGGGCATAGCTCCCCTCGACCCTGTGGAGTTGGGTACCGTGGTCGTGGACAACCCAGCCTTGAAGCTCACGTTCACTGATACAGTGGTCACCGGTTTGAAAGGATTCAGAATCAATACGTACAAGTACGTATTTTTAGACTTGTTTGACAAGTATTTTGAAATTATCTTAATTTGTAAACAGAATGAAAGTGTCCCATTCAAGTTACTTTAAGGTTAATCAGAAATGATAACTCTAACAATTACCTATTTGATTTAGAAGTCTCTATTCAGAAAAAAGAAAGTTACTGAACAAATTGAGAACATCCTTCTTTTTGGAAAATCGGTAATAATATGAATTATGAATGGGGCTTTTAAATAGCGTCACTTATGATGAGTTATTACATAACTTATAATCTGTTAATTTTTTTTGGTCTACAGGATCAACCCAGACAAGGGAAAGGCCACCTTAGACTTCACGGCTAATGTAACGTTGAAGGCTCACTACGATATGAACGGGCAAGTTCTCATCCTGCCCATCAGGGGTAACGGACAGTCCAAGATCAAAATCAGTAAGTACACAGTACAGTCCATTTGATTAGGTGCGTCTAGTTATCTATATCAAGGTACTTACGAGTACCAAATCGAACCGTAAATACCATATAGCCTGGTAAACAGCAACCTACAGTCAACGCACAAAACAAATATCAACAATCGAGTCCAACAGTTTTGAAGGTTCTTCCTGAGAACACTAAATAAACAACTACTAAAGAAGTATCGACTAAATACTCAATATGGATATTCCCATTCCCTTTCATTAAAAACCTGTACACATTCCAGCAGTAAACTGGAATATAGAGCAATTCGACTAACATGTATTTACTTACAACGGGTTTGCAAGACCGGCACTAAATATACATACTTGCACAAGTCAGCCGGTTGGTAAAGGAAGCGCAAGAATTAATTGAGGGCTACCGTAGTCGGTAGCTGCACACGAAATATTATGGTAGGGCTTGAGGCAACACTTTGATGTACAGTTATTAGAAAGGTCAATTCAATGTCATATCAAATCGTGCTAGTTCAACTTAGATTGATAGAATAATGGCTAGAAAACTGTTCTGTTTTGATTTTCAAAGTCTAAGGCCAAGTAGCCCATAAAGGCTGTGTATAGATACCTATTTTCCAGATAAAGAGTAATAAAAAAAATACCTAATCTTATATTTAAGATATGAGGACACGAACATAACAAAATTAATAAATAAAAACAACTCTTTGTTGCGCAACGTGTTGCGGGTTCACATCTAGAACCGGGACAAATATGTTGTCTGTAAATTTGATCAGTACGTATGATTTAAACCAAATAAATAGGGACCTAGATTGATTTATATAATTCCGTTTTTTCAACAGCGAACCTCAACATTGTCGTCAAGTATGACTTCGAAGAAAAGGACGGACATTGGATAGTGCCTAGCTACAAGGACCACTACAAAATGGACAGAGCTCAGTTCAAGTTCACCAACTTGTTCGGGGGTAACAAGGAGCTTGGTAAGACCAGTTTGTTATTTAATATTTAGACTTTTGACCTTGACCTTGAATACTATTTAGCATAATTAGGTGACAAACTACCGCCACATGATACGATGATGTCATCTCTTGAACTAAAAACCGTTAAACAGGTTCATATCTACGCTACTCTATATAAATATTTAACAAGAACAGAATACATAGGTACCTATGTCTTTAGTTAATAGCACCTAGGTACCTAGAATATTTCATTGTCTTTTAAACCTGCTAAATTCGTACTTTTTAAAAACTATAAAAAACAAAATTAAAGTCAATTTTAAACATGATTCTATCTACTGATAGGTAATAACAACACTAGATAATCACAATCACAACACCACACTAATCATACGTAATCAACAATTTACTTACAGCACAAACAACAGAAAGGTTCACAAATGAAAACTGGGAGATTATAATGAGTGAGATCGCACCGCCCGCCCTCAAGCAGATTATTAAAAAATGCGTCGATCAAGTGAAGAAGTTCTTCGCCGCAATCCCCGCTAGAGAACTACTACCCTGAATGGTTGGACGCTACGAATTTATCAACATTTTGTACTAAAACATTAACTAAATTGGTTTCTATGTTCTTAACATTTTGGATTCCTGGTTGCAATACAAAAACTTAACCTTTCCCACTTACGTATACTTACACTAACTTATATTTACCTACTTACATACCTACAGAAATCAATTGCTCCATAAACTAACTACTTACTAGGTACTTAGACTTTACTTAATTTGTACATTACCTACTTACCTTTACACTCTTCGATCAACATTAATTAACACTGATCTGTCTATAGTAGACAGATTCATCATCATTCATTCATTCAGTAGGTTCGACAACTGCTTGATTTGAAGACCTTCTTCTGCCATACTCGAATTGGTGCACCTCTCTACTTACTTTTTGAAATAAAATTACCTATCAACTTCATTGGTGGTTAACATGAGTCCTATTTAAATTGAAATATAGACTGTATCTAGTTTGTAATGATAATAATTTTGCAGGTGATACAATCCACCAAGTAATAAATATTAATTGGGAGCCTGTGATGCGGGACATCGGCCCGGCCGCCTTCCAACAAATCATCAAAGCCTGCGTCGATGAAGCGAAGAAGCTGTTCGCAGCAGTTCCACTCAACCAACTGCTGCTACCATGAACCTCTGTCACTTATCGGTATAAGTGCCTTGAAAAGGCAAAAGTGCTCAATTAACATAAAATTCGTTTTAGAATTATTCGTAAACAAATTCATATGCTGTTCGGTAAAAGACAACGGGGTGAATAGGAATCAAGAGGTGAATCGAGACATCGAGACAGGTGAATAGATATCTACTATGAAGAATTTCCAAATAGCTTCCGATTTATCATCTCACCTGACCTCTCGATTCCTGCGCACCCCGTCTGTCGGTTATCCTAGTAATGAATTTGTGAGAATATCTCAAAATCGAGGTGAAACTGCAAAAGTTAACTTAACTACAGAATCAGTAATTTTCTTTGTCGATGCACGTTTTTCGTAATCCTGCACGAAATAACTACTATATACAAGACTGTGTTTGATCATTTGTTTGTAGGCGTACCTACCTACGTATAAGTTGGTAATAGTAATATTGTGATAATTAGTCTAAGTTAGTTCTTTTGGTACTAGATTTAATTTATTCATGAATAAAATGGATGATGTGTGAACTGATTTTCTGGTTTTATTATGTACCCCTAGAGTGCGACTCTCACACGAAATAACTAGGTAATTGTTTTCGTGAAAATAAGTTACATAAATTCTTATTTCTTCGTTACTTCTCTCCAGATTTTGTCTTTGCATACCTTCGTATCGTAAAAAGTCGCGGGTTCGCTTCTCGCAATGAAAGCTATCTTCGAGTAACACACAAATTCATTTTTAGTGTGGGGCCACAATAGTTTGGTGATATTTACCACTTTTATCAGACTAATTTAAAAATAACTATGTTTATCAAATACATAATGACGTGCCCTATTGACCTTATGGACAAATCTATAAGTAATATTGTTTCACCAAGTACCTACTAGCGCTATCTATGGATTCGTACAAAACAACATTAACTCAATAATAAATATAAAACTTTCTACAGGTTATGGCATATTGTTAGCAAAAAATACTTTCTGAAACCTATTCTTGTTATATTAGCTATATTAGCTAATATAACAAGAATATAAGTATGAAGCCTATATACTTAGCTAATAGGTATGAACAATAGAACACAATTAAAGAGAAAATATTGGACATAGAAGAACAACAAGAATAAAATGATAAGGACAAAATAATAATGAGTAAAGTATTTATTAAACGATAAACAATTTAACAAAATAATATAAAAATTGATCAAATCAATCATAAAAAGAACAGAAAAATGAATTTTTGTTTTGTAAATGCATTTAAAACCTTAAAAGTATTGGCACATCGGTAGTTTGATATAGTATATATATTTGAGTGAGTTTATCGAGGGCACATAGCATGTCTGCCTCCATCTACAGGCACACTGACTCCAGTGATATTGCTGGCCAGGTCACTTGCCAAGAAAGCAATAGTAGCAGCTACTTCATCGGGTTGGCCTGGGCGACCCAGAGCATGGGTCTCCTTAGTCCGCACCAAGAATGCTGCATACTGCTCTTCTGTCATACCTCCCCGCTTTTGTAACTCAGTCAGAATGACTCCAGGGTTGATACAGTTCACCCTCACACCTTTTGGTGCTAATTCCAAGGCTACACACCTTGTGAACTGATCTACAGCAGCTTTCGACACATTGTAAGCAAGAACTCCAGGGAAAGAACGAATACCATTAACACTGGATATGTTCACGATGTTACCTTTCGTTTTGATCAAATGTGGAACTGCTAGCATCGTTAAATGATATATAGAACGGACATTCGTGTTCATCAGACGGTCATACTGCCCTAAAGACGTATTTTCAATCGTGCCTGTCTCAATAATGCCTGCATTGTTTACCAATACGTCGATTTTACCATAATGATCGATTGTGTTCTTTACAATCTTTTCAATATCACTTTCTTTCGTCAAATCAGCAGGAATAGAAAAGATTGAGGAAGGCTCCTCACATTCTTGACAAACTTTTTTCAAGTTCTCGACGTTTCTACCAGTCAGTGATAGTTGAGCGCCCAACTTTGATAAGAATACAGCTGTTGCAGCACCGATTCCAGAACTTGCGCCGGTTAAAAGCACTACTTTGCCTGTGAGACTCATTTTTGATAACAGAGTAGAGTTTGCTGTTACCTGGATACCTCTGCTGAGTGACATGGGAGAAAATCTGATTTATTTTTAGTAAACTTTACACTTTCAAAACTTATAATTAAGACTAAATCACGAGCTCCCTTATCGCTAACTTTGTTACATAATATTATAATACAAAAACAACTTTTATCAAGCATTCATGATTTGCTAAAGAAATAATAGCCGGCATAAATTAAAAATATTGCCAGTAAGCGCACGTAACGCAATTGAATAACCACATCTCATTGGTTTAAAACAACCACTCAAAATATACACCAATCAGAGAATGCTAAAACTGAATAACCTAACCTTAACAAGTTTTCATAGTGATTTACTTCATAAATAAGTGGGTAAAAACCGTACTTTCTCAAGTCCGGTTTTTGGAAAATCGAAAATTATGAAACCGAATGTTTCAAAGTAGCCTGCTAAAATTTAAATTTTCTTCCGACTATCAGCTCGATACCGGATAGTATGATAATTTAAATTGTACATGTAAAATAAAAATTGGGATGTTTTTATTTTTTGCTTTTATGCACGATACATGTCTATGTTCCTGCCACACCTCACGTCTTATCCTGAAAGAAGGATTTATTTTATAGTAATACATTATGATTGTGACCAAATAGATTAAAGTAGTTTACCAAAGCAATGTCATTACAGTTTGACGTTTTGTTTTGAGTAAGTAAATTTTTGTAATAAACGAAATAAACATGTAGGGTTTTGAAACAATTTATTAAATATTTTTAGACACTAAATTTACAGTATCGTTTTATCCATGGCTAAAGTAAGTTTAGCATCGTTTGTCTTATAACATTATGTCGTGGTATATGCTTGGTATATGTATGTACCTTGTAATAACATGGTGTTTTTTTAAATCATTTTTTCTTGTAGAAAGAAGTTATTCATATCCACATTGGACAGGCAGGGGTACAAATAGCCAATGCATGCTGGGAACTTTATTGCCTTGAACATGGTATAAGATCAGATGGCATTTTAGCGTTTTCTAATGATGATGAAAACTATGCAGCATTCTTTAGCCATACAGGTGCTGGAAAAGTCGTACCCAGAGTCGTTATGATTGATTTGGAACCAACTCCGATTGGTAAGTAGGTAGGTAGTTGTAGTAGAATAAAAGCTTCATAAAACTTTAGTCTTTACTATTTTAGTTTGATTTATATTTATCTAGTTTTATAAAGTTAAAAAACCCAGCAATGCTTTTAGTCTGTTCGATGTATCAATTGGATACACCAAAATTCCCAAATTATTCAAAATCCTTTCTCAGTAGTTTCAATTTGAATAATAAAGTCATATGGATTTTTTACAGATGAAATAAGAACTGGGGCATATCGGGAGCTATTTCATCCTTCTTCTTTGCTTACTGGTAAAGAAGATGCGGCTAGCAATTTTGCTCGTGGTTACTTTAGCGTCGGCCGAGAGATGATTGATTTAGCGTTAAATCGTGTAAGAATCGCTGCAGAAGACTGTAATTCCTTACAAGGTTTCATAATATTTCGTTCGTTTGGAGGCGGTACTGGCTCTGGATTCACTGCTTTACTACTGGATGGTTTGAGCAGGGACTATGGAAAATTATCTAAAGTAGAATTTGCCATCTATCCGTCCCCAAGAATTTCTCCAATAATTGTTGAACCATATAATGCCGTCTTAACCAGCCACGCAACTATGAATACAGAAGACGTTTGCTTTATTTTTGATAACGAAGCCTTATACGACATCTTGTCACGCCTCTTAGATACCCCACGACCTACTTATACCAATTTGAACCGACTTATAGCTCAGGTAGTTTCTGAATAAATATATTATAATGGAGTTTAATGTGGAATGTCCCCAAATTAACATTCTTCACATGAATAAATAATAATTTTCAGGTTGTGTCGTGTATGACTGCTTCAATGAGATTTGAAGGTTCACTAAACGTAGGACTTGTTGAATTCAGGACAAATCTTGTCCCATACCCAAGAATACATTTTCCATTGGTAACCTTCGCACCATTTGTACCAGCTACGAAAGCCATGCATGAATCAAATACTACACAGCAATTAATGATGCAATGTTTTGAACCTAGCAATCAGATGGTTAAATGTGATCCTAGACAAGGAAGCTACATGTCTTGCTGCTTATTGTTTCGTGGGGATGTGAATCCAAATGATATCAATTCAGCAATAAATCAAATTAAATCTATGCGTACAATCAAATTTGTTTCATGGTCTCCTACTGGATTTAAGGTATTTTGGTTGCTTTCCTTCACTCGCTTGTCTATACTACTTTCAATAAAGTACTTATTATAGTAATAGCACTTTTAGAATAACAATTGAAATATTTATCTGTTACCTACAGATTGGTCTTAACTATCAACCTCCAATGACAGTCCCTGGCGGTGATTTAGCTGCTTTAATGAGAGCTGTCGTGATGGTGTCGAACAGTTCGTCAATACGAGTAGCTTGGGAGCGTCTGTGTAAAAAATTCTCATTAATGTATGCTAAACGTGCATTTGTTCATCATTATGTTGGTGAAGGTTTAGAAGAAGGTGAATTCAAAAACGCTCTAATGAACATTAAAGCATTAGCAAGAGATTATAAAGAAATGGAAGATTAAAATCAAACGTGTGATTAAATAAATGTTAATATTGTGTACGAAAATAATGTTGTAGACTTTGTTGTTAAGGAAAGTTGTAAACAGTACAGAACCTACGAAATAAGATAACAAAGTGAATAAAACCTACATTGATTTAATTATTCATTTATTTTCCTCTTTATATATAAACCTATCGCTTTGATTCGGGTGGAACTTACGAATGAGATAGCCTATCATTTATGTCTATAAAAGCCTAAAAGCTCAACCATATTTTTGAGCTCATGGATGGGAGTAGAAATATCCTCGAGTATAAAAATGTACTTAACAATCTTAAGTACATAGCATAACAACTTCGGAAATTATAGACGTGATACATTTTTGAATACTTGATAAATGTATTATTAGTTTACAAATTGCATCTGTAATGATTCTTATAAAAAACTATTTTTATGAATAAATTATTACGGTTTTTCGGCTATAGGCCCACTGCATTAACTGCACTGCACTATTTAAGCTGTCAATGTCATGTGTCAAACAAAATTACAAAACTTCAAAGATTACATTCGTAGCACCACGGTCCGGTCGCGATATTCGCGTCGTGGTTGTGTTGCTTTATTAAATAGTTGACTGAATAGTCTGAAAGCATTTTATAATCAAGAGAACAGTATTCTATTCCGTGTATAACATTACTTTAAGTTAAAGTGTAGTGCTGACAAATTTTCATCGATTCCAATTCAAAAGTTCTTGAAATATTTACAAGTGAGTTATTATTTTTATAGATAATCCTGAATATACTTATCTAATAAGACGGCCGAATACCTTAATGCGATTAATTTTAGTATCTGGGTAACTATATCGGTTAGATTTTGGGTTAGCACCTTCAGTAGTATATAACATGTTTCTTCAATAAATTATATTGCTTAATATTATGTAAACTCTTTGCTCCTACGCTTTAGCAGGATTGCTATAATTAATTAGTAACTTTAATATTTTATTACATTTAATTTACTGCAAAAATAGCTCTGCCTCTACATAAACATACCCAATTAATATTATATTGATTTCCTCAAAATTGGCCGCAATAAGCTTTAGGTACAAAGAGAGGAGTGAAAGGAGGGTAGGGAGGCCTTTGCCCTGCAGAGAGACAATCATGGCTGAAAATAAATAAAAATAGAATTGATTTCCTCAATCAAATACCAAGTACCTACTCAATTTGTTGTTTATGTATCTTAAAAGTAAAATTTTGAAACTATCTGTGTCTGATAGAAATCCGTCTAATTCTATAACACATAATTTATTAATACATTAATTGTAACAATTCTAATTTGATCAGTTAAATGGAACTATGCCTATTATTAGTAGTTAACAACTGAAGTGATTAATTACTTAATATTTCCAGAAATGTTAAGTTTATCACACCTGTGCCGCTGCACACAGTCACTGCGGGTGGCTCAAAGCAAGTTACTGGTGTCTGGTGCAAGGAATGGCTTCAACACAACAAGCATTGTCAGCCGACAGCTCATCACACAGAATAATAAAGTTGGAAGGTTCAAAGGACTAAGGGTTAGTTCACAGTTCTATTTTAAAATAAATAGTGTCTAATTCACCATCTACAAGCCTAACATGTTATATTAAAAAATAAATAAAATTATCCATCAGTTACAGGGTAGTTGACAGCATAAAAAAAGAAAATTAAAAATCTAATTAGTCCGTCAGATAGATAATAAAAAATATTAGACACATATCTTTTTATTTTGTTGTTTATTAACTCGTTGAGTACTGTCATTATAGACACAATTAAACTGTCAAACACCAAGCAGTCACCGGTGACCGCAACCTATTGTTCTATAATTGTGTCTACAAAACCGGTACTCGACGAGTTAAAGAACAATAGGTTGCGGTCACTGGTGTCCTTAGGTGACCTATGGTGTTTGACAGCTCAAAATAAAAATTCTTCATCTAACTTATTGCAGGAAATTAATTACTAATTGTGAAAAGACTTTTAAGTTCAGAACAACTTAAAAACCTGGTTTTACTCAAATTTCAGGCAGTTTTCCATTAAACCTTCCATTAAAACTTGAATCTGTTATTGGCTCCATAGTCCTCATAGAAAATTGAAATCACTAAAGTAACTTTCTAGAATTTCTACTGAATATTTTGAAACTGAAACACTGATAACAATTGTTATAAAATCACCACTTTCTATATCAGGTTTATTGCTAAACAAACATGTTTGTTTATTACATACTGTTATCGTGTGTCTTCTCTAGGCATGTGTAAGTGTGTTGCACTTGTTAGTAAATTGTGATTATCTTGCAACCACTTCAAATAATGGACATAATCCACATAGAGTTGATATGCAATTATGTATGTAACAGTGTATTATGATGTAGGATGTTACGAACATTCATATTCTCATATCTCATCTCATCTCGAAGATTTGAGGCTTATTTTTGGTGTCTAAACGCCCGAATATTAAAAAGCTACTTGATTGTACTAAGTTGTACTTATACATCTTGCCATCTCTGTTATTTTACAAAGAATTTGTAGTGACAGAAAACTATATTAAGCGCAACTTAAATTGAGTGGTGTTTGAGTA